AACGCGAAACTTCCATCGCCTGGTTGTGATTGGTCTCCGCAGATAGTGGAGCGTGTGCGTGATTTGATTCCGAATCTGTTCAACACATGTTTGCTCATTCCAATTACCAGTTCCATTAAAATAATCCGATCGGTAACTGCAATCCCTGTGAGGACCTCTGCTTCATTTGAAGGAAAATCAATTATTTCGAAAAACATTGTCTGTGGTAAACAGTTAACAACAGTTCAGGCCGAGGCTTTTCGATCACCGGACTTAGTTTGCATCCGTCAATTTCAGAGGATTATGAGTGGCATTCTAGCCACATCTGAAGAGATTGGAATTCGTCTACATAATCCCTCCCCCCCTGTACTCTCAAAACACTTCGTAAAAGCAGTCGGTTTTCCCACGGCTGACACCACACACAGCCATCCTCCCACCCACCCCTAATGACCCGAGGCAAATGTGCATGTGTGACGACCAAAGTGTGAACAATATCCGATCATGGAACTGGAATGTTGATTACTTCTTTTCCAAGTAGTCATGACTTCTCCTCACCCCCACCCGCTATCAAACAGCTTGATATAAATTGTGATGTATTAATCTGTGGAAGAATCACCACAAACGAGCTTGTTCGGTACTGTTTTATTTTCTTATAACGCATAATGATGGTATATTCGGACAAAACTTAACATTCGTCAGACAAAAACACCCGTATAAAATAGATTGGTAGGAAAACGTCAGAGGTAGCCTGATTACTATTCGATTTTTGTAACGGGGAACTGGGCGGAGGCGGTTGAAATTTTGAGAAGCTTCACATAAACTGCGATAGTAAACAAACAATAAACAGGACAATCAGTTATGAACTGTGTGTAAACTAGCGGATCTATATTCATACTGCAATACACAAAAACTGAGATTACGAGATCAGGTGATCACGCGATCCTGGACTCACCTGATCGGCTGTCCGTCTCGGTGCGTACGGACATCGATTGGCCATACTGACAGACACCTCTTCCCAAGCACGCCGTTTGAAACGATTCATTGATGGTGAGATCGATAAAAGCACGTGTTTGCGTAGTTCGATCTCTTGCAAGAGGATTTTTACCTCATCGTATGCAAATGACTCAGTCCGTGGTTTCGGCGGACTACCGAACAAGGATGCCAAACCAGAACTGCTGACGGGAGTAACTGTTTGTGAGACGGTACAAGAATCGAAACTAGCCATTAGTCCAGTGCTGCTCACAGGCATCGGTGGCGTAGCGGCCACTGGGAAAGTCGGATCGGCTAAGCCGGTCATAGATGTTGGTGGATGTTGTTGTTGTTCTTGAGCCATATGTTGTTGCTGTATTGTCTGATTCATGTGTGAATTGTTTGTCACTCCAAGCGGTCCCAACAATGTTGGCGCTTGCATTAGGCAGCCCGGAATGAGCCCGGTCGAATTCACGGAGGATGGCGTCACAGATCCTGTGCCGATTGTTGAGCATGGAATGGAGAGACCGTGTGTTTGAAGCTGCTGTGGTTGCATCGTCATAGCTTGATCTTTGTTGACTCATACACGACCTTGTGTGTACGTGTAAAGTAACCCACGCATATGCACTTAGGCGACCCCTGGGGTCGATAACACAATGCGGCGCGTTCAAACTGGACCGAAGATTTATTCGATTGCGATCGATTGAAGAGAGAAAGAAAGTATGAGCGTAGTATTTCGTGCGCGCAAGCTTGCGCATACGCGTGCGCATGTGCGTCTGTACACCAGCGANTAGGAAGAACGAGAGCGTGTGGTGGTAGAGAGAGAGAGAGAGTGCGCGCGTAAGAGAGGGTGAGGTCGAGGTTAGTGTGTCATGATTGGTTAGTGGTTGGTGTATGTTTGTAATCGCAGTCCCCTGGTTGAAGGTGAGTGTGTCTGGGTCTGAAGGGAAGGTACGAACAAGATTAGTGGCGAAGTATGAGGTGAACGAAGCAGTCAGGTGAAGTGATGGTAGTGTAGACAGACACTTAAGTGGAGGGTGAGCGTGCGACGAACAGGGAACCCGCGTGTATGCACGCGCGGGAGCGTGTAAATGTGTGTGGGTGGGTGAAGTGAAACGACAGAAGGCCAGTTTAAGATAGAGGGACAGAGAGTGGCCTAAAGCCAACTTACGTCTAGCGAGCAAGGGAGAAAGACACACCGAAGCGGGCAGGAGACTTGACGTGAGGTTGACGAGACACTCATTACGGCCAACCAAGTGCCTTGTTACCATTGTAGAGCTAAGAAAAGAGATAGCTATGTACTGCGAACGCAATCACGAATACGGGTATTCAGCTATGTGATCATCAAAGTCAGGAAATCAGTTCCCGACGCATTTGTTTGTAGCGCATTAGATGCATTTTCAAGTCATTCACTGAATCCGACAATTTTCGTGTAAAGGTAGCAAAATAAAAGCAATGGTTCAGAGAACTAATATGCAATGTTTGGACTAATATAAGAAGTTGTAATTTTGAAAACAGCAATGTCGGTACAGGTGAAAATAAGCCGACGTTTCGGTTACCATGGATAACCTTTATCAAGGCGATTTTACAATGGTACTGTTCCGGTAAACGATGGCAATGCAAAGATATGTTTACCTGATAAACTCTACTTGTAGGTAATAATCTTAAGTTAAGCAAATAACAGCCGTTGCTTGAAAGCAGGAAAAACAACCAAAAACACTTAGTCGTTTGAATACATCTAGAACGAATTTTCAGAAACGGAGAGAACACGATAAAAGAATAATTTTCTTTTAATTTTGATAAACCTACGGAGATGGGGGGAATAAAGTATTTTTTGGGCAATAGCAAAATTAACTTCTCGGTATGAAATAACTTCTCGCGGTTCGAATGAGCCAAACACGACCAAAGAATCCTCAGTCTGCGATTGTCAACATGACCGGATCGATAAAGATTGTGAAATAGAACGAACCTAAGGTACTTCTGTTCAACTCCGATGAGGAGGTGAAGCAGATTGTCGAATAGGATATGGAAATGGTATTGGCAAGAAGAAGTGACTTTCAGACAATGTCATTGTGACTCTCTCTCTCTCTTTTAAAGTGGTCTGCGAAAACCTCAGTATGGTCGGGGTGAGTGTCTTGCGTTGTGGCTGGTCACTCATCCACTGCACCTCACTAAGTGATCAAGCGTCTCAAACAGCTTATGACGAGGAAGCCCTACTCACTGACTTAAAACAGGGTGATATTTTTCCACTGAATTGAGAGAACGAAAAGCCAATTTCCGCGCGATTATATATGGGTTGGTAAAGCACTTACAGTTCACCTAGGGGAGTTGGCTAAAAACTCTGATTCCAAAACAACCAAGAAGAGGCGTACGGACACACACACACATCTTGTTTTTCTTGGGTATGGCAATGATCACTTTTCGATCGAGGTGTGTTGAGCACTTTGAACCCCCAACAGACTGCGGTTGTCACAGACCGCCCCGCTGCTTTGCGCGTCAGGCTAGGGGTCATGACAAAGGAAGACGCGGGAAGAAAAATAAAAATTGAAAATGAAGATGGAGAAATTCGTCATTCAGTTGAGTCCAAACTGAACGTGGGAGCATGATATCAGTTAAACAAACTAACACCATACAATCAAGGGAAATTAGACCCTTATAAGATAAAAATTATTCCGGCCGGACTGCATATAGATCGGGTATGACGGTTCACACGTTTGCAGGTTTGGCCGTTTTCTAATGAATGCATTTTCGAGCGGTAAATACAGCTATACATCAAATGGCAAACAATAGAAATCCAAAGAATTCACGTTCCGCAGGTTCGATCGATGGTGGATATCTAACTCCTCCTTCGAACTGCCACTTTCTCCTTGTGAAGCGTAGTTCAGGAGAGACGCTACATACAGATAAAATGCCAAAATTCTTTTGAACATCAAAGCAATAACCCCGTAGACTCCGGAAGGAGCTTCCAAATAACTCAGCCCGTTAGTGCTGTGATAGAAGATGGTACAAAGAGAGCCCCGGCTAGCGAACGAATCAGGAATAGGGCCCATTCAACCACTCGAAACGAACGAATCGAAAATTACAGCCGGACGGACAATCCGCATCTAGCCAGACAGAGATCCATCGAATACCACACCGTCGGAGCTGCTGATCAATGTATCCTGCGCTACGACCGGGTCAAACCAGTCAGAACGGCACGCGGAAGAACAGGCAACGTGCGCACCAAGTGCAGACCAAAACCAACAGGAATTGACCAACAGAATGAGGCATGAATCATCTTGCCGCGCGGTTAAGAATTGACTGAGTATAAATGAACGCATACACCGGTTGTTTTTGAATTGAATCAATAAACGTTTTGCTAGCCAACTGGTCTTCTCGTTACACTTCTTCATCCAGCTCGTTCATTTAGATAGGAAAATCTGTACCTGTACTGAACACAACACAGAACCGTATCCCAACTGATAGTCTGGAGTTGTCGGGGTCAGACTACGTTATCGGACACGTACCTGCATTGGATTCAGCTTCTTAGATACGCACTCCTGCATTATAAACAGTCAGTGCCGTAATTTTGAAGGTATTTATTTATTTACGTGATAGCAGTGGAGGATTTGGCTTCATTATATGATGAATTTTGTTTTGTAGAGTGAAATGGAAAGCTGTGAAACGCTGGGCAGCTATTTCGATCTGATTGGATCTCATCATCGACTTAACTGGGGGATCGAACCCGGGACATCACAGGTAAAACGCATGCATACTACCCACCAGGCCACCGAGCAGATAATCAGACCGTTCCTCGGGGTTACCGCAGTTGATACAGTTGATCTACTGACTGTGATATTTTCAATGTAGATGAAACAGCTTTGTGTTAAAGGCAGCTCCCAGAAGGAACATTAGATCTGAAAGGAAAGACAGTTTCTGGGTCCAAGAAATCCAAAGAGAGAGTCACGTTATTGCTTTGTGGGAGCATGACTGGAGAAAAGTTATCACCGTTGGTGATTGGAAAATTTCAAACTCCGCGATGCCTCCGAGGTATGGATAGAAAAAATCTTCCATACAGTTATAATTCTTCAAAGAACGCATGAATGACTTCTACGTTACTTCACAGTTGGCTGTCGGATGTCAACCGCAAAATGGTTTCTCAAAGGTGCTTTGCAATTCTGTGGGGTGTCGAATGTCATCATTTTGACTACAGTGGTCACCAAAGCCACGGTCATTTTATCTATAGATGGGCTCTGTCACACTAACGTGCAAACGGGTGAACGATAACCGCGATTGACTGGTCAATGGGTGAGTGGAGTGAGATATCAGATCCGAACGATCGATAAACACCGTCGTGCGGACGCACCTGTGTGAATGGATGAACGATACTCTCACTTGTCCTAGAGCAACGATGAAATAAGACAAGTCACTTGCCGAAGATCATCGTAACCCGGGTCTAAGGGCAATTTATGAGATGCACTTTTAGTTTATGAATCGTAAATTGCTTGAGAGTTGCCGTAATTCCTGTAGACAGGCGTCTATGGCCTTCGGTTGGCTGAACAGGAGTGAATTTTTTACAAGTAAACTCCCGGAAAATTTGAGCGAAAACCCAGTTAAAAAATAGTGCGTGTACTGTCCACATATGAACATGACATATTAAATTGATACTTGGACATCCTGAATTGAAAAAGGTATGGTTTATGAATCACGTTCTGGCATCATGTGTTGAACAACGGTCACGATGCATCAATCCGTTTTGAACATACACTGGAAACAATAAAAGCAAATTCAGGAGAAGCCTAACCTTCTCCTGAGAATTCTCACTGTATGAATCAGAGCCGGATTGGGATCCATTGGGACCGTGTGAACGTGTCGACATTTTCGTCGATCGTACTGGATACGTGGGCGTTAGAGTAAAAGTGTAGAATACAATGACCTAATTTCTAGCACGTCTTCCATCGCCACCCACATAACCCCCATTCCGGACAAATTTCTATAGACAGTGAGCAAACCCATCAATACCACATGTATTACTGAGTCACGACCACATTTTGGGCAGGTGATATCGATAAAGGCTCGCACTGTTTTCCAACTGTCTTTCTACTGAAATCGTTGGGATGCGCATCGTTAGACCGGGCTGTGATAGTTCGGCCAGACATAACACAGACGAATGAATAGGTGCCTACGGACACCAATGATACACACGTTTCACTATAGAAAATCACGAGTAGATTGCACAGCGAACAATCGGTTTGAATATGGGAACGAAGTCATGTTCTGAGTATACCCCGTAACAAACATTTCACTCACTTTAAATGTTATTTCCTTCTCAATGTATTCAAACTGGTTCCGCTTTGTTTTCCTTGAATGGATTATTAGTGATGTGATTGTTATAGATAAAACAATTGTATATTATGGTGGGTGTCATATAATCAATGATGTAGTCAGCTTAACATTGCAGCG